GCAGAAATAATCTGGTTTGACCCCACTTTAACTGCCAGGGCTCCATGCAAAGCTTGGAATTCTGGGGATGGTAGCTCTGGTGCCTCAACAAACGACAGAATCCCATAGCACTGAGCCAGGGCAGTTGAAGTGGGGTGAAACCGGATTCTTTCTGCAGTGCGGATTGAGGCAATGCATGGCTGGTGTCCTTGACTCCTTTTTTAAGATGACTGAACTAGACTCTGATGCCTCCGTTTAGATTTGCGTTTTATGCCCAGAGTGAAAAGTTTATTCCTGTAAAGTCCCCTTCCTTCCTTCCTTCCTTTTGGAAGACGCTCCAGCATTGAGGAAGCAAGAGGACTTTTGCAGAGGCTGCGAACCTTCCTCCAACCTTTCCTAGGAGAGTGGGGCACAAAAAGGGATGGGAACCGGTGGCCTTGGGCAAGTCACACTCTCTCAGCCTCAGGGGAAGGTAATGGCAAACCTCCTCGGAACAACTCTTGCCAAGAAAACCTCGTGATAGGGTCACCTTAAGTCGGGAAAAGGCTTGAAGACATGCAACAAACAAGTAAACTGCCAGGGTTCCAACATGCTATGGAATTCTGGGAATGGGAGTTTGTTGTGGCTCCAGGGCGAAATTCTATCGCATGGAAGCTGAGAGAGTGTGACTCTCAGCCCAAGGCCGCCACCCAGTGAGTGGGTCTCCTGGCTGAGGTGGGATTCGAACCCTGCTCTCCAGAGTCCCAGTCCAACACTCCAACCACAGGCGTACTCTGGGTCTGAATCTAGCCCTGGTGCTTTGAAGGCCCAGACTTTTTCAAGCCCGCCTTTGCCCTTTCCTTGACTTTTTCCCAGGAATTGTTCCAAGTCTGTGAATTTTTCTGCCAGTAGTAAGTAAGTAAGGTGCCCTCAGGATATCTTTGGTCCAAAACACACTGTTGCAATAATCCAATTTGAGGCCGCTTTAACTGCCCTTGATCAATGCTAGGGAATCATGGGAACTGTAGTTTATTTAGTTTAGTAGAGCTCTCTGACAGAGAAGGCTCAATGTCTCAAGAAAGCTAGTGCCCAGGATTCCCTAGCACTGAGCCAGGTCAGTTAAAGCGGTCTCAAACTGGGTTATTTCCGCAGTGCGTTTGGGACCTTAGATTGCTTTCCCCCTCTATTTCTTATTTTTATTTCTTTATCTAACAACATCCAAAATCATATTACTGTATCACTCCTTGGCATCTCTCTCTCTCTAGAATCCCAGCCCTCCATCCCAATTCCTATGCCATCAAAGAGGGTTGAAAGCAAGTTCCTTTTCCTTCCCAATTTGGGAGAAGTGACACTTTCTGGATTGTCTAGTCAACTTGCCTCTTGACTGGACTGTAGCATCACTCCATAGCCTGGCCTTCCTTCCTTCCTTCCTTCCTTCAAGATCCCCATCCCTTCTTCTTAAAGAATGATGATTCTTGGCCATGTCTCTCTTCCCATAAGGCTGGCCTTTGCATAGATAGTGCCAGGATCCCTGAGATTCCCCATGGTCCTGCTTCCCTTCTCCTGGGATCTTCTCTTCTCTGGGAGATCATCGCCTGCCCCACTGTCTGGTCCTCTTTGGGCTTTTCCCAGATCCTTCTTCTCTTGGGACATTCTGGAGGCTCTGGAAGGGAAAAGGCCTGGGGGCTGGCTAGAGAGGATGATGGGCCATGATCTCCTTGGTTGGGGGCTGGAGAGGGCAGGGCATCCTTCTCTCTTTCTCAGGTGCCCTTCTATGGCCCTGGGGGCAAGGGCTATAAAAGGCCTGGGTTTTATAGGGGTTCCTTTAATTCACAGTGGCATTTGGGACAGAGCCAGAGACCCCTGCAAAGCCTCCTTCCTCCAAATAAATGGCTGCACAGAACCAGGTAAGGCTCCAGTGCTCATCCATCATCATCATCATCATCATTTTTATTTATTTCTGGTTTCGCAGCCTTGGCCCCCAGAGTCCACTTGGGTTGGAGCCCAACTTCTTGGTTTGTGTGTAGTTTTTGTTCCTCCTCTAAGGAGCCGAGTTCCAGTTCTGCACTCTCCTTCCAAAAAAAGGGGAGCTGGACCCAGTCCTGTGGAAACAAGTGTTTTTTTTGTTTTGTTTGGGTTCCTTTGGAGAAATGGGAACTGACCCCATTCCTGGGCCATTCATTTCTTGAGTTATAGATGTAATTGATTTATTTCTGGGCCTGTCAAGCGGCCCTTTGACTTTGGGAGGGATGGAGAGGTGCAGGGCGGCCAGAGGCGTCCTCCATTTCCGCCTTCTGCCCAAGAGCAATTCCCAAAGGTCCTCCATTTGGGGCATGGCTGAGGAGCAGGGAGGTGTGTTCCTATGCGCGTTCCTAGCTTTTCTTTGGCCGTGTCCTCCATTTTCCTCGGCTGCCCTCCATTTCTACCTCCTCTCCAGCATGTAGACAGAGCTTGTCGCCCCTTTTGAGACTCACTGAAAGAAAGAAGGTGGCAGCAGGAGCTTTCCTAGACTTCAGTCTACTTCCTCAGATGCATTTGGGGAATCTGAGGAAATGTTTGTGAGGAAGTAGCCTTAAATCTAGGAATCTCTTTCTTTCAGTGAGTCTCAAAGGGGCTCCAAGATCTCCCTAGCTTCTGTTCCTACAGACTGACACGGCTATGTCCTCCATTTTGTGCATGGCTGAGAGGCATGGACTTACCTTTCTATGGTTGTTCCTAGCTTTTCCTGGGCCATGTCCTCCATTTCCCTGGGCCATGTCCTCCATTTCCCAGTGCCTTTGGGCTTAGGACCTCTGCTGGCCCTGGAAAGGGGCTTTTCAGATTCCCAAGAGAGTCTTTTCAAGGGGCAAAAAAGGCCTTTTTCCCTCCCAGATGAAAAGGGGATGAAAAGTTGTGCCTCACCTTCAAAGGGAGATTTGCAAAGCGAGGCGGCCTTAAGGGATCTGTAGTCCCTCTGAGAGGACCCCTGCAAAGGGATCTGTAGTCCCTCTGAGAGAAACTGGGCCGAAGAAGTTGGAGCAGGAACTTTCCTAGACTTCACTTTATTCAAGTTTATTCTTTTCCTAGACTTCAGTTTCTTTCCTCGGATGCAGAGCCTCAGCCTCAAACCCAAAAGATGGGAGACCCTGCGGGGATTGATGCGGGACTGCCACTCCCAGCAGCCTTAGCCAGCAAAGCCAAGGAAGGTGGATGCTGGGAGGTGCAGTTCGACAGCAGCTGAAGGGCACCGTGATGGGGGATGAAGCAGCCTTTCCAGGGGCTTTGACTCCAACCCCCAGCATCCCCCCTCAGGGGATGATGGGAAAAGGCATCCAAGGACCATCCAAGGCAGCTTTGGAAAGAGCTGGGGGGAAAAGGCAGGCTTTGAGGCAGGAGAGTCAAGGCTAGCAAAGCCCTGCTCCAACTTCTTTCTCCAAGGCACTGCAAGAGCCCTTGGCGAACTACTAATTCCAGACTAACCCATTCTCCAGGCTAGCAGACTAATGATCCCAGGCCATGTCTTCCAGTTCTGGCCCCATGCAAAGCTGGGAACCGTGATTATTCTTTGGGACTACAACTCCCAGGATGCCCTGGAAAGCGGGGCTCCCAAAAACTCTCTTTTCCGAGGCCAGTTTTCAGTGGAGGCGGGCAAAGGGACACGTAAAGGGATCTCCAGTTCCTGGCCTTGTCGCCACTATCGCGATAGTCCCCTTCCATGGCGGAGTGGTGCAGTGGTTTGAGTGTTGGACTAGGACTCTGGAGAGCAAGGTTCGAATCCTGGCACGGCCATGGAAACCCAGTGGCTGACCTTGGGCAGGTCACACTCTCTCAGCTTCAGGGAGACAGAATGGCAAACCTTAGCAAGAAAAGCCCAGGCTAGGTTGCCCTTAGGGTAGCCATAAGTCGGAAAGGACTGGAAGGCAGACCCCAAAAACCACTGAAGAGGCCCCTTCCAGGGCTTTCCCTCTCTCCCTCCGCCATAATAATAAACTGACCTATAAAACTAATACATGAATGAATACACCAATGCCATCTAATAATAAATAAATAAATTAAAATCTATATTGGGCCCTGCAAGTATTCTTGATCTCTTTATTTCTACTCCTCTCTTTCCTCCCAGATTGGGACTTGAAGCACTTTCCTTTCTCCTGTGTGCTTTTTCTGGCTTATGGCTTATTATGGAGACCCTAAAGGAACCCAGTCCTCAGGATTTCTTGGCAATAAATTAGCATCTGACAACATGGCTTTTAAAAACCGCACCCCTCAAAAAGCAACATTAGAATTAAACGATGAATAACCTCGGATTCAAAACACATTTTAAAATGATAATAGGAGTTAAAATACTGTGCATTGTAAGCAACAGAGCATTTTGTCTTGTTCTGTTCCTTTTCTCTGCTATTTCTCTTTTCCCAAAGCTGCAGTGCTATTGGCTTTTGATACCAAATCTATAGTTTAGATTCCTTCTATAAAATAAATAAGTGGCATTTTGATTGATTTGGATCCTTATGAAAGTACTGCCCAGCTGTAAATCTGGCAGGGCAGGATAATATTTTTAATTTTTAATTTGTTTTTACTTTTCTTTATTGATATTGAACAATAGGGCAATCTCAGTATTACAGTAATTCACCCCCCTTTGCTACAAACAACCCAACCCTTCCCATCTGACTCCTAATTCATAAACTGTTGTTTTGTGTCTTCAAGTCATTTCTGACTGATAGGGACCCTATCCTGGGGCTTTCCTGGCAAATTTCTCCAGGTGTGGTTTGCCATTGGCATCCTCTGAGGCTGAGAGAGTGTGACTTGCCCAAAGTCACCCACTTGGTTTCATGGCTAAGCAGGGATTTGAACTAATTCATAGTACAGTGCTCTCTCAAATCTTGTACTTCTACAATTTCCATTCTGTTTCTTTACATATTATGATAATCTTATTCAGCTAATTACTGATCCAAAATTTAATTTGCTCCTTTGGTGGTTTAAAATCACCAGTACTTTGAGACATAAAAGCAACAAATGGCTTCTATGTAATACTAGAAAAGTCTTCTTTAATGTCACCTTTTGCTAGCCTTAATTTATAGGTGAATTTCTCTGATAGGGCTATGGTCCTTATCCGCTTTCTCCACTGTCCAGCTCTCACATCTGTAAATGGAATTGAAGTCAGTGATGGCACCATTTGTGTATCATTTTCAAGACATTTTCTCTCAATTTTGCTGTTATTGATTCACAATTTGGAGTTTTCCAAATCAAATTCCATTCTTTTATCTGCGATATTTATCCCCAAATCTGTCTCCCAGCCTTTGAACATGCCAATTTTTGCTTCTTGGATTACCTGAGGTATCTCTGAAGTTTGTCCTGAGGTTTGATTTGAATTATATTACATATTGATTCAAATAAAGTGAATGCTCTCAGGGGAAGGGTTACTTTCCTAAATATATTTGTCTGAGGTGTTTTGATATGCATTAATTGCCATCAAAATGTGTTGTAGGCAGTCTGTGTTTCCTGTTTTGTCACACCTATCTATATATAATTTATATATATAGATAACTGTCGGGGAGAGATGATTTTCCCTGAGGCTCCCCAGTGAGTCTGGTTAAATTGGAATATGAATCCTACATATGTGAGGACTCCAAGTCACTATCAGGCACTCACCTATGCAAGGGGCAACTGGCTGAATTTTGCACACCTATTCTTATAATAGGTTATATATATAGGATAAAATCTGTCCTCCTGAATAAACCTTAATGTCAATATGTCTCACTGCAGGGGCCATGGGATTACCAGCTCAGCATTACACTTGTGTAACTGAGGTTTAGAAGAGCCAGCATGGTTGCAGTAGTATTGAGTGATGAGCTGGGATCCTAGGGATGCATCTACACTGTAGAAATAATGCAGTTTGACACCACTTGTGTCATGGCATCCTGGGATTTTTTTTTAGTTTTACAAGGTCTTTAGCCCTCTCTGCTGAAGACTGCTGGAACTTCACAAAATTATAAACCCCAGGATACTGTAGGATGGAGCCAGGGCAAAGTGGTGTCAAACTGCACTATTCCTACAGTTTTTAGATGCACCCTGAGAGACCAGGATGAAAGGACCATCCAGTCAGGGAAACCACCTGAGTGACCTTGGTCAAGTCACACTCTCTCAGCTTCAGAGGAAGGCTGTAATCAACCTCTTCTGAATAAAACTTGTCAGGAAAACAGGGGCACAGTAAACCAGAGTCAAATTGAAGACCCATAACTGCTGCAATTGTGTCCTTAGAAAATAATCTTTTTTCTTTAAACACAAGTGTGATTAATAACAGTTCTATTTTTGACAGCTTACAGAACTGCCATCCCTTTGCTTAAAAAGAGAGGATTGCTTAAAACTAGTGAAGTTTTAATCTCCCTCCCCAGTTTGCCTCTCTTGCTTCAGGATAATAGTGCTACTCTTACCCAAAAATTCAAAATAAAAGAGTATCTCATTTCTTTTTCCTCCAAGGAAACCTGAAGCGACTTGATACAATATTAATGCTTGGAAAGAAAACCAGAGCAATTAAGCAACACAGGTTGGAAAACCTGATCCCTTTGAATATTTCACTGCCTCTTTGTTGCCTAATGGTCAGGTCCTCTATGAGGCTCAAGGGACTGATCCACTTCTAAGGGATCCCCTTGGCTCTTGCTCTCCTTCCCTCAACACACAAGTTCACAGGGGGCCGAGTTCAGGTGTTACGTGGGCAGAACCTGGGTTCAAGGTGCGAAGGAGTTTGCGTTGCAGGTTAAACAGCCATGCATTACTCCTAGGAGTGCAGTTTCTCACTAGTATTCTTAGAAAACGTAAACCTCCAGCACTACTACAGGGAGCTTTCTTGTTTGGGAGCTTTCTTCTACTTTCTATTCTGATTTTTTTTTTTTAAAAAAAGGGAAAAATCATGCTAATAGGGACCCTTAATATCATCAGTGGAAATGGTGTAAGCAGGTCACATTAGGAGTAGGTAGCAAGAAATGGAAGTAGAGCTTAAAAGGGGGGAAATCAACACTTATGACTCATGTTTTTCAAAGCTAGTGATACATTTTATTTTTTTTTAAATTGTGAAAAGTGTTTCAAATTGAGCCTTCATATAATTCTGTTTCAATATTTGATCATGTTTTGTGTTTTAATTGTTCTTTCTCTTCATTAATACTGAGAGCTACTTTAAATTCCACTTTGGAGAGAAAATATGGGTTCAGTACCAAAAAGTAAACTAAATAGATAGGTGTCGTTCCCCCCTCCGCCAAGGGCCTGTCTACCCAATAAAAATCACCATGGCAAAGCCAATTGGCTATAGCAGTAGATTTTCCACAAAGATGCTTTTTGGTAATTACATTTAGAACAGGGGTGGGAAAAATACAGCCCTCCAGATGTCCTTGGACTGCATTTCCCAGCACTCCTCACCATAGATGAAACTGCTTACTGCTGCTGGAACTTGCAATCTAACAACATGTGGAGGGCCTCAAGATTCCTATCCCTGATTTAAATGAAATGAGACACAGAAACTCTGCCTTGTGTTTCCTTTCAAAGACTTGCCAACTAGGAGCATGGATTCAGTGGCTGTATTCTTTGCAGTTGAGAAAAATGTTGGGATAGGCTGGTCAATTGCCCAAGAGAAGCCACTTTTTGGCAACAGATCCAAAACATGTAAAAGGGATGCAGTGGCTCAAGTGGTTAAGACACTGACTTTGTGGATTGCAAGATTGGCAGGTTGGCAGTTCATGCAACATCTGAGCCTTGATGGGTGAGCTCCTGTCACTAGTCCCAGCTTCTGCCACAACCTAGCAGTTCAAAAGCATGCAAATGCAAGTAGATAAATAGGGACCACTTCTCACTGGGAAGGTAAACATTGTTCTGTGTAATCATTCTGGCCACATGATTACAGAGTAGTTTCTGATAACGCTGGCTCTTTGGCTTAGGAACGGAGAAGAGCACTGTCCTCTATGGTCGGACACGACTTGACAACCTTGTCAACAGGGAATCCCTTTACCTTTATCTTCCCAAAACATGTTGGTGACTGACATGTTCTGGCCATGGCTCTTGGCAGCAGGCATAAATGGTACAAGCAGGTCCAGAATTAGGACCGTGAGAATGTAATTGGCTAGCCTCCTGTTAGTTACAACACTGTTAAGTGAAGTTGATCATATTATGGTTTATGAAATGATGATGGGGATGATGATGATGATGATGATGATGATGATGATATAGTAAGCCCACTTTTCTCAGCTCTAGTGGAATTCTTTTCTGAGCACGGAACAACTAAAATCCTCCTAAAACCCCACCTTTGAAGTGATGGAGCCCCTTCTACCATGTCTTATGTTATTAGAGAGTAGGGAAATCAGCAGAGATGGGTCCAGCTTTTTTCCTGTAAAGTGGTGTGGGGGCTTGTTGTAAGAATGCCATCTGCAGAGGCTTTTTGAAGGTCCAATGGCTGTTACAGTGTGGGATGCATCACTTAAAAGGTGGGAATTGAATTGGAGTGCTGGGAGATGTAGCTACATGCCAGAAATAGTCTCTTAATACAGAATCACAGCCGCAGCGTATCCCAAGACTTGTCAGCTGCAGCTCTGGTTTGATGGTGAGGAAACATGTTGGAAGTATACCATAGCTCTGGACCCTAGCATAGCTGCTCCTATCCAAATGCATGACACTGGGAAGTCTCATCCCTCTTGCCCAATTGCTTTGGGTCTCATGGCTTTGGCTAAGAAGGTCCCATGAGACTTTTAGGATCTAGAATATGGGGGGAGGGGGTTAGCCATGCTAGAGCTATTTCTACACATCATTTA